AAAACTTAAAAAGAAAAAAACTGTTTTACCCTTTTTTTTATTTTTTATACTTTTTTATTTTTAAAAGAATAATAAAAAGAATAATGAACCCAATCCACCCCGGCCCACCCCACTACCCGTAGCTTTCCCCTTCCCTCTTCCTCTCTTTGAACCTTTTTTCTTCTTCTTCTTCTTCTCTCTCTCTCATTGACTCCATCGCCCCTCTTCTTCCTTCTCACCCTCCACCTGCAAATCAAACCTCACACACATACATTTGTTCATTAGTGGTGAAACACGATCTAACCTAGTTACAAGTGATAATGGTCACATTTACTCAGTCTATCACACGTGAACATACGTGTCGCTGAAGAGCTGGAGCATAATACTCAGTCAATTCCATATTCCATACAATCAGGATTACCGTTGTATAGTGCATTATATATATAGGATCACTGTAACTCTATGCATTCATTCATAATTACACAAACAGAAGTTGAGAGCATTACAACTTACATGGTATCAAAGCGTTAGTGATTATTAGAATTATTATTTTTTTTTCTCTCGATCTCTCTTCATGGCTACCAATCAGCTTCTCCTTGGTCTGGTGACTACCTCTTCCCCCTCCACCTTTAATTTCCATCGCTGAGTATCAAGCTCGATCGCAATAACTACTGCTTCTGGCGTTCCATCATCATCTCAGCTCTAGAAACTTTCGAGCTCGATGCCTTTGTTCTTGCCCCAAACCCACCCGCTGAAACGGTGACGGTACCTTCCAACGACAATCGTGCAGCCACCACTCAACCCAACCCGGAATTTCAGATTTGGAAGAAACGGGATTGCCTTGTCCTTCTATGGCTCAAGTCGACTCTCTCTGAACAAGCACTTGCGATCGTTGCTCGATCCACTTCCTCTCACCAAGCCTGGACAGACATCGATAAAACATTTCAAGCACAAACCAAAGCTTGTCGGATGTCGATGCACACAGAACTGCAGAATCTTACAAAGGGCGCCTTGACCATGATCGAATATGTAGAGAAGAGAGCGATAGCCGATTCACTTGCAGAGAATTTACACCTAATTTCTTCAGATGACCTAATTGGTCATATTTTAAGAGGACTTGACGGGTCTTATGGCTCATTTATTACTACCTTTATGGTCAAAGATGACCAGTCCACTGTTGACGACCTTGCTGGGCTACTTCTTCAAGAAGAAGCCTGTCTGGAATACGACCATCATCGCCACACCGTTCCACCACCAACTTCATCTCCAAATTCTTCCATTCCAATTGCCTTAAATGTGAATCGCTCTCTTCCCCGCTCCAATTCCTCTGGATACAATTCTTCACATTCCCACTTGGCAACCAATCAACTGATTCTCGTCGTCATCCTTCACAATGCCAACTCTGTTCCAAGCTGGGTCATGAAACCATCGATTGCTGGTAGCGTAACAATCAGACTGACTATCCTTCTCGACGACCCAACCCACACAATCAGAATCGTCAGGCCCACATTGCTCAACACCACGGTCCTTCTACTGTGATTGATCCTTCCTGGTACTTCGACACCGGTGCTACGGACCATGTTGCCCCTGACCTACAGAAACTCAACATTGCTGAAGAATATCACGGCCCCGATAAGGTCTAAGTTGGCAATGGTAAACTTCTGAATATTTCTCATATTGCATATTCATCTTTTCATGGCTTAAAATTACCAACAGTGCTTATTGTCCCACAAATCAAAAAAACGACTCTTGAGTGTCTCTAAATTAACTTCTGATAATGACATCTTCATGGAATTTCATCATTCTCATTGCTCCGTCAAGTCTTTGCAGGGTCAAACACTTCTCAACGGGGACGTTAATCATGGTCTATATCGTCTTCCTTCAAGTTCAAATAACAGAGCCTCCATCATGGCGCTCACTGGAGTATGTACCACTCTCCATGGTTGGCATAAACGACTTGCTCATCCAAATGTTCTACTTCTTCGTCGCTTGCTTTCATCATTCAAGCTTCCAACATCCTCTAACGACTTCCCTGCTATTTGTGACTCTTGCCAACTAGGAAAAAGTCACCACTTACCTCTTTCTGATTCTCATGTTGTTTCTACAAAACCATTTGAACTAGTTTACTCTGATGTCTGGGGGCCATCACCCTATTTTTCAATAAATGGAAGTCGATACTTTGTATTATTTGTTGATGATTGCACAAAGTTCATTTGGATTTACTTTTTATTAGTTAAATCACAAGTCTTTGATATCTTTGTGACTTTTAGAAAAATGATTCGCACTCAATTTAACTGTGATATTAAAAGTCTTCAAACAGACTCGGGGGCGAGTACAGACCTGTTTCCACGTATCTTTAACACCTGTTTCCACGTATCTTTAACAGCATGGTATCATTCATCGCATGTCTTGTCCATACACACAGGAACAAAATGGTGCTGTTGAACGTTGCAATCACACTATTATTGAAAAGGGCCTTACCCTATTAGCTCAATCCTCCCTACCACACACATTCTGGGAACATGCTTTCCACACTGCTACATATCTATACAATCGCACAATCACCCCTGTTCTTGATTTTCTCTCACCTTACCACAAGTTATACAACAAACTTCCAGATTATAAATTTCTAAAGACGTTTGGTTGTCTCTGCTTCCCTTTTCTTCGACCTTACAATACACACAATATCGATTTTCGATCTCTTCCTTGTATTTTTCTTGGATATAGCAATTCACACAAAGGTTATCTGTGTTTTCATTCACCTTCATCTCGAATATCATTGAAAGACATGTAGTCTTCAATGAGAATGTTTTTCCTAACCCGACACAACCATCCCCATCATCCTCTACTCCAATCCCTTCCCCTAATCCTATTTCACCGACCCTTTTACAACAAGCCACTGATCTATCCTCGTTACCAAACCAATCCCCCCCCCCAAATTCGTCTCCTTCTACTCCTATTCAAATACCTACAGACTTGCCCAATCCTCTCACTAGCAATCCTCATTACCAAACCTCAACCATCAGCTCACGTGCGAAGCAACCAACCTCTATTCCCACTCATTATCGCCCTGCAAATAGAACAACTCATCCCATGCAAACTCGTGCCCGTACAAATTCCTTGAAACCTAAAGCTCTTGTCTCGATACTTTCAAGTGATCTTCTGTGTGAACCCAAAACCTTTGCTCAGGCAATAAAACACAATTGTTGGAAAATAGCCATGCAAAATGAATATAATGCCTTAATGAGAACTAGCACCTGGTCTTTAGTACTCTGTCCTCCTGGTGTGAATATTGTAGGTTGCAAATGGAAATACCGGATCAAACGACACTCTAACGGCAAGATAGAACGATACAAAGCGCGCTTGGTGGCTCAAGGGTTCAGTCAAGAGGAATCGGCCGATTATTTTGACATATTTAGTCCAGTTGTAAAGCCTACAACTATCCATCTAGTTCTATCAATTGCGGTGTTAAATGGGTGGTGTCTTCGACAATTGGATATCAATAACGCTTTCCTAAAGGAAGCAGTCTATATGAAACAACCTCGTGGATTTGAGGATTCCACACAACCCAATCATGTTTGTCGCTTGCACAAGGCCCTTTATGGCCTTAAGCAATCTCCTAGATCTTGGTTCACAAAGCTCAAGACATATCTGATCTCTCAGGGTTTCCATGCATGCCAATCCGATACCTTGTTATTTGTTCATATCTATAATGGTCAACTAATTTACATTCTGGTCTACGTTGATGATCTTGTCATCACATGTACAAATGCTAATTTGATCCAAAGATTCATCGACAAACTCAACTCTGTTTTTGCGCTAAAGGACTTGGGTAATTTGCATTATTTCCTTGGAATTCAAATTCAACAAACATCAGATGGTCTATCTCTGAATCAGACCGGTTACATTCAAGATATTATTGATCGGGCACACATGACTAATGCATCTCCCATCTCTACTCCAGCGGATTCTAATTCCAGATTAGTTCTTGCTGGTGAGCCTTTTTCAGATCCCAGATTGTATCGTTAGGTGGTAGGTTCCCTGCAGTATGCCACCATCACGAGACCAGATATCGCATATGCGGTAAACAGGGTATGTCAATATATGCATTCCCCAACCATTCAACCATTCAATATATGCGCATACTTAGATATCTCAACGGTACCCTCGAACACTGTCTCCAATTTAAACCAACATCCGAGAACGCTCTACATGCCTTTTCTGATGCGGGTTGGATGTCAGACAAAGACGACAGTCGTTCACAATATGGGTTTGCCATATATGATGGTTCTAACTTGATAAGTTGGACATCCAGGAAGCAACGTGTTGTAGCGCGTTCAAGTACGGAGGCTGAGTACAGATCCGTGGCTTATACAGCGACTGAATTACTCTGGTTGAAACAACTGTTACATGAGTTAAAACAGCCGTTACTGCATTCTCCATTGCTCGTGTGTGATAATGTTGGTGCAATTTTCATGACCAAAAATCCCATAATCAGCACTAGATCAAAGCACATTGCATTGGATTTTCATTTTATAAGGGAACAAGTTGACTGTCAACAACTCACGATTGCACAAGTGTCTTCTAGTGATCAATATGTTGATATCTTCACCAAGCCTCTTTAAAAAGATCGCTTCTCCTACCTTCGTCTCAAGCTTCAAGTTTGTCCCTCTCATGAGCTTGTCGGGGGGGGTGATAACGGTCACATTTACTCAGTCTATCACACGTGAACATACGTGTCGCTGAAGAGCTGGAGCATAATACTCAGTCAATTCCATATTCCATACAATTAGGATTACCGTTGTATAGTGCATTATATATATAGGATCACTGTAACTCTATGCATTCATTCATAATTACACAAACAGAAGTTGAGAGCATTACAGCTTACAACAAGAAAATAACTGGAGGAGTATTAATCATCACCGGAGCTCAGCTCGTAACAGAAGGAAAATGGCCCAAAACTATGTTACAACTCCTGCTACTCTTCACCCAGCTCCCCTAATTCCCCTTCCTTCTCTTTATCTGATCATCTTTTTCATCCCATCTTTCTCCCCACAACTCAAACCACATACACTTCACAATACAAACATACTGAAAATTAAAAACACACATAATTACCGATCGATAACTACAACTCAAACACAGACACAAATTAATCCAAGGATTTACTTTAGAGCATGTTCTTATTCTCCTTAACTCAATCCCAATTGATGTCATCGGAGCCATATGCTTTGTTAAATGAACTTTATAACATGTTTTCTAACAAATTACAGAGTAAATTTGAACAGAAACCTGCCCCACTTGAAGTTAAAATCAAACCTAACTTCAAACATAATTGGGGACGAAAAGGGAAGATTTCGTAGCTATTATTGTTGCATATAAAGAGAGAAAGATAGTAGGAATAAAGAAACTTCAATTGCATCAAGACATAGATTAATCTTATCCCCAAAATAAAACCTGAAAATCTGCAATGCTCTCGACAACCATTCCGTGCTCACTGTAAGATCAGATGAACAAGTTAACAACCGTTTAATTCCTTTTCTTGAGTTCGAAGTCTGGAAAGGAAAAATGCATTACCTCTTTCAATGAAAGATAACAGAGAGGCGTTGAAGGAGGGATGGCAAGGAAGACCACCAGGTTGAATCCAGTGTCGGAGAAAATCACCTCCTTCACAGTGAAATTGTTGGTCGCCGGAATTCAAGAACGTTGGCAGCAGTGCCACAGACTCCGGGTAAGCAGCTATGGTGGGATCATTAAAAAGAAGAGATAGGAGAAAGATGCAGATTTCATTTAAGAGAAGGAGATGGCGTATTGATACATGTATTGATTTGAGAGAGAGAAAGAGTTTTTTTTTTTTTTTTTTTTTTTTTTTTTTTTAAGAGAAATATTAAAAAAATATAAAAAGCAAAATGGTAAAATACTCATTTCAACATAGAACTAAAAAAAAAAGTTTTTGATTTTGAACTAGTAGTACAAAAAAATTATCATCTAATGCAAGTTTAAAAGATTTTGGATTTCATCCATAATTTTTTAAAATTTTTTTAATTAAAAAATAATAAAAAAAACTATAAAAAAATATTAAAGGCATTATAGTAATTTCCTATTATACGTATACCATAACAAATTCAAAACCTAGAATAAAAAAATAAAATAAAAAGGATCAGATATGGAATTTTGATAAACCATAAAATTAATTTTAGTTGTATTTGACGAGCAAATACCTTTTAAAAAAAATAATTCCAATTTTGTTGACAAGGAAATACATTTGAATTGAGAAAATTACTAATCTAACCAAATTCATTAATGACTTATCACTTTTTAGTCAATAATTAGGATTTATCCCAAATTAATCCTCAAAATCGTAGGTGGTTAAAATGGTCTACTGTTTCACCGTATATAAAGTTTTTTTTCCCACTACGAAACCGTAAACGAATAAATAGTTTATTGTTTCCTCTGAGAAGTCTACTGTTTCCCAAATAGTATATTAAAAATAATCTACTGTTTCGTCTAAAAAACTACGATTTTGGGTTTTTTTTAAATGAAAAAAAAACACTTACTTTTTTACTACTATATCGTACCTACTATATATTAAAAGAAAAATCTCTTTTACAGTAAAAGTTAGTGTTTTTTTTTTCACTAAAAAAAACGTAGGTTTTAGACGAAATAATACTATTTGGGAAACAATAGACTTCTCAGAGGAAATAGTAGACCATTTTTCCGTCTGCGGTTTCGTAGTGAAAAATGAAAAAAAAAATCTTTATATACTAAAATCAAAACAGTAGATAAATAGGCGAAACAGTAGACCATTTTAACCACTTACGGTTTCGTGGGCTAGTTTGGGACAAATCCTATTTTTTGGCTAAAAATTGTTAATCACTTCTTTAATTTGACTAGATTATTAATTGTCCCATTTGAATTCTATTAGGCTAATTTAATACCTTTGATCGTATTTTGAAAATAATTTATGTTTTCAGAATTATAAGAGCATAAGGTGTCGACAACTAGTCATAACACCATTTTGGTCAATGTTTTAAAACCCGGGTCGACCCGGCCGGTTCAACCGGTTGGACCGTGACCCGGGGTAAAAAGCGGGTCAACTGAGATCGGTTTTTTATAAAAATACAAACCGGATCGAATCGGCCGGGTTTCCCCTAAACCGCGGTTCGACCACTTATGTTGAACCGGTTAAAGCGGATTGACCCGTTTTAATAGACCTTGGATAGTTGGATACAAGTAGTGAGCGCCAAAACAACGAACCGTTTGCGGTTTCTTCAATATTTAAACTTTGTGGACATCAAATTATTGGTTTTATATGTTTATGCATTATGCATGAAAGTAAAAATATATAGAAATAGAAAAAGATCATAAACCGGGTTGACCCGACGGTTCAACCGGTTGACCCGTGAACCGGTTATCACATCGGGTCAACTAAAAACCCGGGTTTTAAAACATTGATTTTGGTGTCACCTCACACGCCACAACACCAATGGTGTTATAATACAAAGTGAGGAAATGGTCACTATGTTGCATCTTGTTATAATACCAATTTTTTTTTTCCATTTTATAATTAAATTTTTTTCATTTTTTTTTTAATTTAGACAAATATTTTTTAAATATAACATAATAAATAAAACATAATGTTTAAAAATTATAAATAACATACAATAAAAATAATTTTTAAAGATTAAAATTAACATAGAAATTAAACTACACATAACATCCAAATTCCAAAAAAATAAATAAATAAATAAATAAATAAAAAATACAACGCTAGTCGTTATCGTTATTGTTACCATAGAATATATAATCCGTCTGGTCCTCTCGAAGTTGTCTGTGTTTATTTGCGTCTTGAATGTCAACAACTCGATGCAAATACTCTACTGTTCCTGGTTGAAACTAAATGTGTCTGGGCTCCGTTGGGATATAATGTTCTATATTTCGCCCTTTATCTTCTACTACCATGTTTTGCTTTATGATACATGCATACATGATATATCGTAGAGTTTCTAAATCCAATGGTCGTGCTGCATGTTCAACTATATGCCATTTCACCTTCAACACTCCAAAAGCACGTTTCACATCCTTTATGTGCTCTTTCTTGTCTTGTCTTAAAAAAATTGTCTCGTTCTTCAATCGGGTGGCAGAATGCCTTCACGAATCTAGAATACTGAGGATATATTCCATCTGTAAGGTAATATCCATATTTGTATTCGTTTTCATTCACCGTGAAAGGAGCATCCGGGACCTTTCCATTCAAAAGATCGTTGAATATTGGTGACTAATCAAGAACGTTGACGTCGTTGTTGGAACCGACAACCCCCAAAATGCATGCTAAATCCATAAATCTTGAGAAGCAACAACCTCTAAAACCAATGAAGGTGATCCGTGATGACCACTTACATATTGCCCTTTCAATGCTATCGGATAAATTTTCCATTTCCAGTGTGTGCAATCAATGCTCCCGATCATTCCGGGAAACCCATGACGTTCTTTATGCGCCACATACAATTCTTGCAAATCATGCAACGAAGGTTTCCGCAAATACACGTCTCCAAATATTTCAACAACACCCTTTGATAATGTATACAAACTCTCCCTTGTGGTTCTTTCGGACATTCTCATATAGTCGTCTATGGTGTCAGGTGATTCCCCCATAGCCGTCAAACGAATGACCGCAACACATTTCTGCAACGTTGTAAATCCTCGTCTACCTTTAGCATCATATCTTAATTGAAAAAAATCCGTACCTAAACATAAATTAAGTACAGTTTAAAAATATATTGCATATGTTGTAAAATTAAAGAAACATGTACTAGATTTTTATTTATTTTGTATAAAAGTATAGTAACGAAGCGATACCGGCTTTCCAAGACGTTGGTGATCCGTAGAACACATTCTTACTCAAACGAAATCTTATTTTGAAATCCTTTGACCCGTACACACAATTATCCGCAAAGTAATCACGATATAGATGTTTGTGTCATTCCTCGCGATTTTTGTTTAACATCGCACATATTGTTAGTAGCGGAGCTGAGTCTGGTTGTAGCAGGTCGGTAGTGTAATAATGATACATCATCCTGAAGAAAATATCATCATCTGAATCATCGGACGAGTCGAAATGGTCCATATTTTTTTTGAAGATAATTGAAAGTATGTAGAAAGGAGAAGAGAAATTGTGTGAAATTTTTTATAAAATGGTAGGTATTTATAGGGTAAATGATTTTTTTTAATAGTTAATTTTGTTTTTATACCGTTGCCATTTAAATGTTTGAAAACGTTTAAATTTTGTGCGTTTCATCCGGTCGCGACGCCAACGAGCTTCAATCTGCAACAAGCAAAAACGAGGGGGGGGGGGGGGGGGGCGTCATGACTAAACCTGACAATAATTTAAAGTAAATTACATAAAGTTTGGGGTGACCACTAATGATATTTTATCACATTTTTGGTTCCTGTCATAACTATATTACCTTTTTTAATATTTTTTTTTTCAATTTGATTATTATTCATCTATTATTTATGATTTAAAATAAATAAACATGCCAAACTTCTTCCCCAATCCAATCCAACCCCCCCCCCCCCCCCCCCCCCCCCCCCTCTCTCATTTATTTTGTAAAATAAAAATTGCAAAATTTGTTTTTGCAAAACTCTTTTACGATTATAAAATAATCAGTAAATTTCTTCTTATAAAATAATAACGTTATCCGGAAAAAGTAAATTTGAATAGTGATTTCCCAATTCTGTTTTACAAGATGGATAGTCAAACCAACATATTTGTTTAAAAGAGATTCTTTAATAGTAGTCCATCAATTTTAGTTATTTTAACCATTAAATCTTTTCGAATTTATAACCATCTAAATTAAATATATAGTCTTATGATTGAATATGTACTTCATAGTACAAGTATTTTCTTCCCATATTATCATTTTGTTTTTCTCATGCTGGCTAGATAACAAGGCTAATTAGTAATTACTAAAATAACCAACCATTTATTTTGCAAAGTCCATCGTGTCGTTTCTCCTTTTTTTTTTTTTTTTTTTTTTTTTTTTTGTAAAATTGTTTTATGAATTATTACCATTACAAAACCCATCAAAAAAGAAATTTGCAAAATGGCAAAGCTTTTTGTAAATATATATTCGAATATGATTACCTATAAAACAACTTTAATAACCTAATAATTATTTCACAAATATTTGTTCAAATAACACTATCCATTCCGACCATTTTATTGATTAATTAATGATTAATGATTTTGTGAATACAACGTTGAAGATTTCATACAAAGTAGCGACGACCGGATTCAATAAGACGTGCTACACCACTGAACTACGGTCTACGGCGGCTTAGATTTTACCAAAAGAGCTAACCAAAGTACTAACCCATTACAACCATAGTTAACATTCCCCCTTATATTCATAAACCCCTATCACTCTTCCTTAACTTCATTAAGCAAAAACACACACACACACAAACACATTACGCACACAGAGTCGGAGGAGCAGACGCCGGAGTCGTCTACTCCGGTCGCCGGAGGTAATCTTCCCCGTTGACCAACCTTCGAGTGACGGTGTATCACTGTATCTGCACCCTAATCCACAGAAAACCTGGGGTGGACCGGGTCATCCAGCCCTTTGTGGGGTTTTCTGTGACTTCGTGTGTAAATACGTCCCAGATCATCTGGAATTATACATTCTTTGAGTAGTATTATGCAAATCATTGGTGTTTTTTGAGTGTTCATACCGTGGATGTGTTAGTATTGATGTTTGTACGATGTTAAATTAAATATGCTGTTCTGATGTATAGGTCTGAGGTCGATCGATTTATGTTCATATTTGTGCTATCGTTTTGTGTATCTGGTGTTGAAGTTGTTGTATTGAATGATTCTGATGGGATTTCCGTTTTCGGTGTTTTTGTTTCGATGATTTTGACTGTGTTGTCTGATTTCTAGTGTTTCTTCGTTTTAAGAAATAATCTAACAACGTCAAATCAATAAATATTTCCTCCCTTTCCTTTTACAGCTTGATGAAAAGATTGATTATCTGTCTCGAATTCTGATTTACTCTTTGTGTTCAAAGGGACAAATTGATAAGTTGGGAGATTGATGATGAAATTTGCACTCTGATAGGACAATCAAACGTTTATATCAACTATTGAAATAGATAAAGTATCCTTGAACTTTATTGATTCATTCGATTAGATTCTCTCAACTTGTGTATCAATTACACATCATATCTAAATGATAGATAGTTTGCTTTATGTGTATCTTGTTTAAATTTATCCATTTCTTAATTCATTCTGCTCCAATTCTGAATTTTATTTAGTAACTTCAATCATAATAGGTTACCTATTCAGCTTATTAACATTTTAGAGTTATATCAAGTAGAAAACATGAATCCCAGTTTAACTAACACTTTCATTTTTCATGTAGAAAATTAGATTCACTTCCACAGAATGTGTCCTCCAGCATCCTCCATTCTTCCTGCAGCTCAACTTGGTGACTACTTAACAGATGAAGGGATCTGTAAGTTCTTGATGATGATAAAAAATGGATCCTCCTCCTTACCTGACTACATACTTCCTGATGTGGATCCTTTCCAATTCTCACCTGCAAATTACCCTGGTTAGCATGATAGCATCCATGTTTATACATATGTCATAGCTATTATGCTCTTTTGTATTTCATACTTATAAAAGATCCCCAATGGTTTATTATGATTAACAATTAATCAAAATCAAAACTTTTGTAGAAAACATGTGGTACTTTTGGGCAGGGAGAAAAAGGGAAACAGAATTTGGATTCTGGAAGTCAAAAGGGGAGGCTTGTGAGATATATTCTACCCCTTCAGTTTCTGGTTTTAGAAAGACTCTTGAGTTCTATGAAGGGAAATCCCCTGATGGACAAAAGACTAATTGGGTGATGCAGAAGTACACAGTAACTGAAAAATTTATCAGTAAGCCGGTATATATCATATTCTCTCCATTTCTACACTCTTACACCTCATTTTTCTTTTTCTTTTTTTATATAAATTTCATCATGTTTCTTGTTATTTATATATTTAATCCGATCTGCTAGTCAACTACTGGTTTGGTTGGAAATTATGCAGGATCCTAGAGCACTATACAAGGTCTTTTTGGTAGATGAGAGCATCAGTGGAAGACTTTCTACCAAAAGTCAACTTCTGGTGAGTCATGTACTCATGTTGTGAAATGTAAGGGTAAAACGGTCATTTAGTCTTTCTTTCCGAATTCAGACAGTTCATTCAGTCTAGAAAAGAGAAAAGAAATAGACTTCATGTATACAAACACTTTATCCATCAAGTCAAAAATACACAACACCATAATTTATTCCAAATTCCAATAATACCCTTGTAGGAAAAGAACGTGGATGATGTAGCGGGACCATCAGCCATGGCTAATGACTCACCAAGTGGCGATTTCTTGGAGTTGGATGATCTTGCTGTTCCCTTACCACGCACCCCCGATTCTGGTGATGTAGGTGATTATGTCCCAAGGGGTGGTGA